AATAGAATAATAATTAATAAAATACATTATCGATACAGTAAAAATACATAAAACATTAAAAAATACCATTAAAATTTTTTTAATTAATTGACAGTTAATTTTTTATGTTATTTTTTTTATAATAAGAGCTTCCATTATTCTTAAACACTTTCAATTGTCATAGAAAATATGCGTTCTCTGACAGGAATCGAACCAGTATTGTATACAAAATCGTTATATATATGATACAGGTTCAATTCATGTCAGAGGACACATATTTTCTATGGCAATTTCTCGGACATTCAGGCCGGTAAATGTTGTTAATAATGTTTATTATAAAACAGCATTTACTTAAATATTTGTATCTATAAAAAAGAATGTATAAACATAAAAATGTCTTAAAATAATTGTTGGACTTTGTCCATTTCATGATATATGTATGTATGTATGTATGTATGTATATATATATATATATATATATATATATATATATATATGTATATATATGTATAAAGGCTAAAAATAATAGAAGCATTATTAATAAAAAAGAAAAAGCCAACACTCAATAACATCAACTATAAACATGGCCACAATGTACCGACCATGTTTGGAAAATAAAACATTTCTATAACTCTAGATATATACATAAAACAATCCATACATTCAGTTAAAAGTAAAGAATAAAATTCATCCTTGATAATGACTAAAAGCATAGCCAAAAGCATTTGGACATACACACATTTAGACAATTTCTATATAATTTATGTCCAGAAAAGAAGAAAATTGTAAAAAATTAAATAAAAAAAATAACCACAGTACCTTGTTAATGAAACTTGTATAAGAGAAGGATTGCTGCCCAAATACGCAATATTTCAGCAAAATGTTTTCATTGAGACATGTTTCATTGAATAATTTAGACAAGTTTTGTCTTATTTTCAATTGGATCCTTTCATATTCATGGACAAGCTTTTTCGTGTCATTATTAAAGGAAGAGAGAAAATTATCAGAGTGCTGTTTATTTCAAAACAAATATTGTAGTGCTCATCATTTTCAAAGATAAAATTGCTGTGTTCATCTGAAAGTTAAAATTTTTTTACTTGTGAAGTGAAAATGATGAGCACTACAATATTTGTCTTGATATAAGCAACACCCTGATGATAACATTGTGCTATGTCAAAAGTACTTTGAATAAAATAGTGTATGTATGTATGTATGTATGTATGTGTGTGTGTGTGTGTGTGTGTGTATATATATATATATATATATATATATATATATATTAAAAATTAGGAGATCAATTGAATCCATTACCTTGGTTTCAAACTTATGGTATCCTCAGGCGATTTTTATCAATTGACCTCCCAACACTTTATTTTTAAAGAAAACTAATGAACACTATATTATTTAAAAAAAATAAATAAACACACAATGTTGGATGCAATAGAAAGGGAGGTGGGTGTTGGGGTTCATTGAAATATACATACTTTTTTATCCAGCCACTTATGAGCTCAAGTGGAAGTTTTATGTATGCATGCAAGGGCTCATGACTTCGGATTTCTGGTTCAAAAGGTTCTTTGGATTGGGAAACGTCATTATTGCTAATTTTTCCTGTTGGCAGAGGTTCCTAATATTATTGTGGTTGTTATAAAGTTTCACCTTTTTTTAAATTTTCCAGCTTACAATCAGATCCCAGCTGTTTTTTCTTTCAAATTCCACAAATGGTTACTAGTTTTTGAAATTTCTGGTGTTTTGACTATTTATTATCATTTCTAAATTACTAGTTCAGCTGTAGCTCAATTTAATTGTGTTTTTATTGAATATCTTATGTAATTATATATATTAACTTATATTTATAATTAACTATATTTGAAGATAGCTGTTATTGGTGCAAAAGGTGGAATTGTTAAGTTCAAATTCTATGTCTGCCTTGTTCACTTTCACACTATTGCCCTTTGGAAAGGGATGAATCCATTTCTCCTCCTCCTCTCTCACTGCTATAGGTTAAATAGCATAGTAGACTAGGCTCTCTAGGCTTAACTTGCAAACTGTCTAGGAGAATAACAACTGAATTCAAACTGGAGAAAGCAAGCAATGGGGAAACTCTCAAGTGTCCTTCTCAAAAAGATATGCCAATTCAGTTAAAAGAAAGAAAGCTGTGCCAAGGCATGAACACCAACATCGTGAGGGGACATGCTATTAAACATAATAATAATAATAAAAAAAAAATATATAACTGATAACAAAAGAATCAGCAAACTATGTTCACATAGTTTTATCATTTTTCAAATTTAATCAGCTTTTGTTTTAACAACATACCTTCTAATGTTACATATATATATATATATATTGCATTGATGTGTGAAACTAAAGATCATCATGCAGTCTTGATCACTATGTTCACACTGTTTATTTCTATAAATGCTCAATCTGAAATATTGAACACATTTCTCCTCTACATTAAGCATATTTTAAACTATATATATATATATATATACACACACACACACATGGAATTAATACAAATAAAGTTTTTCAGTTAGCTGACTGGTGTTAGCTTCAGCATCCCAACACCAGTATCTCATAGACCATCCCTCTAGTAATCATCCCGTCCACTTGTCATGTGGTATCACCAATTGACTGTTTGTATTGCTCATTCTGTTTTATATATGCAATTTTCATTGGTGCAGGGTTGTTTTTTGTTGTTTTTTCTTTTCATAGTTTGTGCATGTGCCTGCATACGTGTAGAATGTCATAGTTATTTCTCGTTTTTGGCCTGTTTCTTGTCACTTGATACTTTAATTATACTTTATATATATATATATATATATATATATATATATATATATATATATATATATATATATATAATCATTTGCTTTCTGACCATATGACCTGTGTTTAAATATCACCATGGTCAATTTGTTAGAACAGGAAGGTGACTCCTTGGTGTTATCAGCCTGGGAAGGCACCTTTTGGGAAGTGCCTGTAAAAACTTACCAAGGAAAAGGGCATGTGTATTCTGAATGATATTTTGAAGACGAAATAACCAAAATAGAAACAAGTCAGTGGCAGCTGTTGCCATAAATGCATCTTGGATATGCTAATGAAAAAATTATTCCAACAATAAAAGCAGTTGGTGTTCTCAAACTGAGAGGCAATTTATTTTTAAACTTCATCCATTGGCTTGCAAGTGACTGTTGCCTTGTGTGTTGGATTTCTGATTGTTTATGTGTCTTTCAGGATTTTTGATATTAGACTTGAGATTTGTGATTTTAACATTTCTTTCTGCCCTTAATTTGGAGTTGTGATTTGTTCATTTCATTTTGTAATTGAGCCGTCATATCAATTTCTGAACACATAGCTAAGCATTGTGAATGAAACTGAGTAGATGGAATTAATTGGGAGTTGTCAATGGTTGTGTTAGCACAAGGACATAAGTCATAATGTCCGAGAGTACTGGGCTTGTTCAGACTGTTGATCATGCCAGATAATGCATTCTCTCCCAGAAATTGTGACTTAAGGTCTACTTAGTCCAGTTGTAGTATAAACCACAGGTGTTCCTGAGCAGGCAACTACAACAGGGATTAGCTAGCCTCCCAAGAAGACAGGCATACTCAGATACAAGCAGCCAGCCATTGTGTGTATAACTCTTTGAGAAACCAATATCTTCAGAAAATTAATGAAGCTATGCAGCATAGACAATGTGCTAAAATTTGGAGGAAAGCAAAAAATCATAATAGCTTTATACAATTGAAAGCAACACAGAACAAATCTCCTGGTCTCAAAGAAAACTTTGAATCACATTTTAACCCTGATCACACTGAACTAAAAATTGAAAATAACTTACTTTCTTTCCAAATTCATTAACAAATTTCTGTATTTTTATGAATCATGTCTGGAATCAGAAATACACACGCAAAAATTGGGATTTATCATGCTTTCATGCAGTATGGAAATAAAAATTTAACCCTTACTACCCACACACATACAGAGGTATCTCATATGGATCCGTTATGGTGAAAGTATTAATGAACATTATATTAACTTGGCTCTCATCATTTTATGAAAGTCAACTCCTCACAATCCAGTTTGGTTTACATTCTGGTAAGAGATGGAAGAATGTCATATTAAACATCAAGAAAATGCATCTCTCTCTAATAAAAAACTATATACCCATTACGTCAACCTCACAGCAGCATTTGACCACATCAATAGAAACTCCCTCCTCATCCATTAGAAACCACCTTCCAAGTTCCAAATCTATTGGATGCATTGATCTAATCAAGAAACTTTATCAATCCAAAAAATCTTACATGTCTGGTGAGGGCACCAATACAGAAACATCTTGAACCTCATCAGGAGTACAACAAGGAGGACATGAGAACCCCAGTCTATTTAATCTTTTCTTAGTCTGTGTTGTGCACATTTACAAACACAGGCATGAAAAGATTAGCACTGATCATGTAATTGTCCCTTACCACATCTCAAAAAATCTACAAATAAAAGACAGCAACTCTGCTTTCCCTCTCAAGGCCAATGTACTGATGAGGATGGGGGGGGTGCAATGCTGATGACATATGTGTTCATAGTATAAGAATGATCTTAAACAGAAAATCAACCTCCTCTTCAAAGTCTTTTGAGAAATAGAACTCAAAATAAACCTTTCCAAAACAGAAATCTGGAATTGGAATGAAAGCAATAATGGTACCCACCTGTCTCTATCAGTAAAATTCAGAATGTGGAATTTATAAATACCAAATGCTTCCAATATCTCTGTGTATGGATCAGTTATAACAAATTTAATATAGGAGATAAGGAAATTGAACATAGAATAAATGGTGATTAGAAGTTGTTTCACCCAACACCACAAATTGCTAGGAAAACAAAAGATAAACCTGTAAACTCAAGCCAGGTTCTTAAATGGCTTCATCATATCCAGACATTTATATGGATGTCATGCATGGTGCCAAACCCATTCAGAAATATTTAAACTGTCAGCAGTATACAACCACTTTGAGCTTACAGCCACATCACATTGAAACACCAGTTCGCCTTTAATCACCAGTTAAGCAATGTCGAGCCTGATCAGTACCTAGATGGGTAACCACTTGGGAATACCAGGTGATTTAAGCTTGGTTGTGCAGGTGGTATAATGGATAATGGCTTGAAATTGTTAATCGTTTTCAGTTGGGTTCATTATATTCACTTATGCACAAATACCCTTGAGAAAGGTATGAATCCACCTCTTCTCCTCCTAGCTATGGGTTAATTAGTTGGACATGTATCACTAAAACCATTATTATCTCAAAAAAATAAAATGACATACAAAATACTTAGATTTCAGCATCAACTAACCCATAGAAGTTGATATGGCGCTAAACAAAAGTGAAGCCTGTGGGTCTTGGTAAAAGCCATTCTTCTTTTGAGCATTGTGGACTGGTGCTACAGAATCCCAAAGAACTTTACCAAATAAAAGAAACTGCATCACTTGAAGACTTTCAATAGCAGCAATAGCTAAAGTGGATAACATAATCAAGATGTTGACATTCCACACAACTTCAAATAAAAGGTTAGGAAGGAAACCTCCATCAATAGTGGAAAGAGCAATAATAGCTACTGGATGTGAGAAACCTATTTTCCTTAAAAATTGTTTGAATAGAAAGATTTTATAAATTTTAACCAGCAATAGTATTGTCTGATATGAATGCCAAATGTTTCCTTATGAAGAAACAGCTAATATTATCAATACATTATGAGGTCTTTCCAAGATTGTGTGTGTGTATATATATATATATATATATATATCCAATACTGAACTAGAACTTGAAATTTGTTACCGGAATTTGTAAAAGAGATCTAGTTGGCACAATTGCCAAAAACCATAGACAAAATGACACAGAATTCACCAAAGTCTTCAGTCAAGGAATAATCACTGCCATTATAGAAACCAACAACCAAAGAACTTTGCCACAGAGACACTTGCAGGTACTAAGGAACCTAGCAAAAATAAGGAAATCTACATTTCACCTGTGGACTAGCGGGATGGAGAATTGTCATAATGCGACAAAAAATTAATTTACTACTAAACGATGCCAGCTCATATGAAAAAATAAATGAACAGAAAATAATTGCTGAAACACAAAAGGTTTAACTAAACAATTAGGAAAACTAATCAAAAATCAAAACATAGACTAATAGAATATCACTTTAGAATACCCAAACTTTATGGTCTCCCTAAAACCCACAAAAATAGACAGTGTCCACCCCACTCCCACAAAATGGCAAAGTTCTAACCCCTCTCCTTGGAACAATCAGTCCATCACATATAAAAAAATTCAGGCGACCTAGTTGAAAAACTAAAGGAAACAAATGACTGACAAAGTCATGGCCAGTTGAGATATAAAATAACATTACACTAATGTCCTGGTTGAAGAATGCTTAAATCTCTTAAAAGACATCTAACACAATCAATCTCCCTACCAATAACTAATATAATATAAATCTGCCACTTCATCAACAATGAATGTTTCAAAATTTTTAAAAGAAAAATTTGGATTAGCAATGGGATCACCACTTAGTTGAATGATGGCATGTCTTTTCTTACAATTTCTTGAAGCTGATCCTTTCCAAAATATTTTATATAAACAATTAACATACTTCAGAAATATTGATGATGCTGTAATTTTTTTTTTTTTTATGCAATTCACCCCAAAGCAAGGCCACTAGTATACAAGCGGTTACAGAGAGTGAAAAGGAGAGAAATGACTCAGTATAGGGGGGGGGGGGTATTGAAAAAAGGATAAAAGATGACTGGGGTTCAAGACAACAGGAGATGGCGATTGATGTTGCATTTAAATCCCTGACAATTGTAGTTATCAGGGAAGCAAGTAAGATGAAGGGAGTTCCACTTTTGAAAAGTGTGAGAAAAGAAACTGTTGAAGTAGAAGTGGTGTTTACATTTAACTATTTCAACAGTAAAAGGGTAGGACCTAGATGTCAATCTAGTAGCACACTTAAATTCATGTCATCAGGGCACCAGAGTAAAAAGCTTGTCAGAAAATATTTTTATAATAGACAGAGGGAAGCCACATCATATCTGAGAGAAAATGACCGAAGTTGAGCTTCCAAGTCAGGATTGATTACATTGCAGATCTTTCTTTGGATTTTGTCAAGAACCTTGAGATGAACAGCAGAGGCACCAGACCAAATATGGCAATAGTATTCAATGCATGGATGAATAGTAGATTTATAGATGTGTAAGATTGACTCTGATGAGAAAAACTTTTTGGCATGACACAATGAACCAACTTTCCTAGCAGTAGATGCAGCTATCAATTTAATGTAGTTGTTCCACTTCAAGTCAGTCAAAAATATGAGACCACGAAGACACTTTCCTGGACTCAAGCATCAGCAAAGCTGATAGCAGACAGGGAAGTTTCTCTGTGATGGTTAAATGAGAGCAGTTTAGTTTTGGAGGCATTAAAATTTACAAGCCATTTCCAGCTCCAGTTAACCACTGATTGGAGGTTCTTTTTGAGAGCAGCAGCCAGGTTAAATTTGTCAGCAAATCCAGATTTAGTATTGAGGCAGGAGTAAATGGTAGTGTCACCTGCATAAATGCCTACTTTAGAACTGATGACATCAGGAAGATCATTGATGAAGATCAGAAACAGTGTAGGAAACAGGATAGAGCCTTGGGGGACACTGGCATTCATGTAAAAGGTTTTGGAAGCAAGTCCATTCAGAATGACTTTCATTTCACAATTAGATCAGAATTATTGGATTAACTCAAATAATTATCCTGTAATACTGTAGCCCTGAAACTTACATAGAGGACCAGCTTGCCAAACCCTGGCAAATGCCTTTGAGATATATAGAGTCACCACATGAGCTTTGCTATTATCATCAAACTTGATATATATATATATATATATATATATATATATATAAAATATATATTCAGTTATAGCCGTAAGCACATCAGCTGTATCCCCATGAAACTGAATTACATGATCTTGTAGATAAACTAAACAAAGTCAAACTTGCAATAAAATTTACATATGAAATGAAATAAAACTATACTTTACCTTTTCTAGATATCATTCTACACCATGCTAACAGTAGCTTAAAACTAAGTCTCCATCAAAAATGAAATAATAAAAATGATTTCTATTCCTATCATAACAATAAAATAAAATTTGGAATGATCATTGGATTCTATTTAAGAGCACTCAGAATTCGCAACCCACAGTATTTACACAAAGAGAAGAAATATATTGGAAATACTTTTCAAGACCCTCCAATACCCTATTTCATATTCAATGTGAAACAAAAGGCTCATAAAATATTCCAAAATAGAAAAAAACCACACCTGACAAACCCAATGAATCAAAAAATATATTGTTTTACCCACTAACTCTATCACAACTACAATTGAAAAGAATTTATCTAACCTCAATGTAGAATTTGTCACAACCACATCTAAAACAATAAAAAACTTAATCAATACAAAAAAGCCAAAACTTGAAAGAGGAATTTACTCTATCACCTGCAAGCATTGCCATAAAGAATATATTGGAGAAACTTCAAAAATTTTTAAAAACAACACATTAGTTGTTCACTGAAACAATAAATGCTGCTCTAATTGAAAGAGAAAATAATTCACTAAGACAAAAATGTTTAGAAAGTGCTTTATTCGTGAGTTCATCCACAGTAACTTCAAAAATTTATGCCCAGGTTCTTACAACATTTTACCATTCTTGGCAGATTTTCTATTATCACAATGTTGGATATTTAGTAACAACCATGATAGTGTGATGATATAGTCCACATGTCATTCACTGCACAAGCCATGATGACATCCAAGGTTGGCTGTGTCTGCATATACCCCCAGCTTGCTATATTCGCAGGTTTGTCACCTTGGCCTTGATCAGATTCAACAAAGAATAAAGACAAATGCTTTTCAAGCCACAGAAAGAAGACCCTTACATTCACTGCCTGTAGTTTTGGTGACTGCTAACTCAGTCACTGCTGGTCCTACTTTCACTGACCATGGGTCACTTACCCACTGCTTATCACCTACTGGCTGCTGACTTCTTGCCTCTCTCTGCTTATATGGATGCTGACTGGGGTCCAACCTCCTTATTCATCTACTTGTGTTCCAGGAAAATTAAACCACCCAAAAGCTGGATGGGTGGTCAGTTTTTTCAAAGGACTCTACTTTTATGATTATCTAAAATCATTAACAATATTTTATGTTTACCAATTCAAGGGCAGGCTGGAGACAGGATTTCTGAAAACTCTGGCAATTAAGTTGACTCAAAGATAGACTGGAGACAAAATTCCTAGGAAATTCTGCTAATCAAGTTGACTTAAGTAGATAAATTCCTTCTCATTTTATCTCCTAAGGATGTGTGAGAAATTGTATTGTTACAATGGAAACAAAAAGAATTTAAATAAAATTAGCTATATTATATACCCAAAATGCATAGAAAAGAAAAAAAATTATTGTTGCCACTAAGGCTATAGGATTCAGTCTGTCCTGCTATTTATCCATAGCTGGAAGGGGGGGTAGAAATGGATTCATACCTTTCCCAAGAGTATTTGCACATAAATGAATGTAACAAACTCTATTGGAATTCGAACTTAGATCTCCAATTCCTCAATCAAGGCTGCTATCCATTATTCCAACAATGCCTCCATGAATATTTTACACTCTCTAATATGAATTCTTAGTTTTTTTGTTTTGTTTTTTTCTTCTTCAGAATGTATAACTTTTGCTTTATATTACACTATATTATATGATTTGATTTTTCCCACAACCATTTAGGCTCCAATTTATTATTAAGGCTTAACAATTATAAATACTTGTGAGGAATTTCTAACATTGTTGCATCTGTCTTATAAGGAAGGCAACAGTCATTTGCATGTAATTCAGCATTTCTGTTATTTTGCATATAATAGATCTTTTTTGTCAGTAACTGTTACATCTAATTCATGACCATAGGCAATCTCTTCCTTCTGGATCTTTTATGCAGAGTGAAATTATTTGACATGTTTTGTAATGGTAAAATCATTAGCAATACAATTGCATTGTGCATATAACAGTCCTATTCTGTGAGTAAT